AAGAGTTGTAAAATTATATGGAAAATAAACCTTTTTGCTCTAAAGCAAATTATGAGACAAACTGGGCGCCAAAAGTATTGGTGACCTTGGTACTGATCAGTGTTCCCATCACCTCACTGCGACATATTGTGGCCCATCTATGTTGGGCACCTTTTGTACTTGATGCACCTTAACAAATGTATACTTGCAACGCTAACGCTTGAATTGTTTTTAGCGTCATGTTAAATGTAGCCTATAGGAATGTTGCCCTGTCATTAGCTTAGCTGCATTTTGAAGTTTAGAGGGTTGTATGAGGTACTTATCCTTAGTCTACAGTAGATGGCGGCCGGCATACACCCAGCCTGGCAGGAAAGTGGGCCCGGAAGCAAAGCAATGTATTGCTATGGACAGAGGCAGCAGCAAAACTTAGTTTAACCACCTAAAATAATCAATATCAGTTCAAGGGTATGCTATGTTAAGAAACACTGATTTACCAAGCCGCCAGCCCTTTCTCATGGGGAAATAAAGACGTTATATGTGCTATCTTCAAAGCCACAAACCAATACTCATTTATTTCTCCAAAGTGTAGGTAATACACTGACTTTGGATAAGTACGTCATACAATCCCACATTAAAACAATACTAATTGTATTCATTTTTTTAAAATCCAAATCTTTCACCATGTATGATCCAACATTGTGTGTTTGAAACAGATGTAGTATTGTACTGGAGGTCAATCATAGCAAGCATGTATTTGTTTTTGCACCACCAAAGGTCCAGCACAGTAACAAGAGCATATGGTTCGGTTGTCAGCAGTGTAGAATGGTGAGATTTCAGTCTCCTGTGGCTAAAAGTCCTACAAAGAAAATATAATGGATATTTTGTAAAACCAGTTCTCACAGTATATTTAATGTAAGATCACTCGAGGTTTCCTGCAGTGTTTTAATGCAGAGGTGGACCACCTCGCCTGGTGGTAACGTAAAAAAAGACTTCTTCCAGCATAAGAATGACTTCTCTTGAATGAAGTAGAGCGTAAAAGAGCAGAACGCTGTGATACTGTTTAAATTATTATATATTAAACTATTTGAAGGAGTACTGAAACTAAAAACACCAATGTTTCTGTAGGTTCTGGGGGATCTCAGATCAGACAACCAGAGGCTCAAGGATGAGAATGCCGCCCTCATTCGAGTCATCAGCAAACTCTCGAGATAAATCTTCAAAAAAAACTACATGGAAATAAATAGTATTACTGGATTTCTTCTTTTGCCAAACTCAGAAGACACAAATCGGGAATGGAGACGGCAGCATCGAACACCTGCACATCACGTTCTACAGTAACTGGAACACGTATAGATTTCAGGGTTATTAGCCTGTGTTTGGGCCTTTATGTTTTGGCAGATCTACTGTATAACAAGCTGAACTGCACCGCCTGTGGACTGACGGGACATTCCTGTTTACATCCACTTTTATATTCAGTCTTCATTGTTGTATTTTTTTAACTGGAATATTTTAATGTGCTTTGCTCCTCCGAAACTTTGTATAAAATCTGTATCAAGAGACTTTAAGCCATGCACAGTGCTAGACTTACCGTAAATGTGCCAAAAACAGCCCCAGTTTTGCATGTCCTTTGGAGAAAACTCCAGGTGGTCAGTGTTGTTTCTCAGGATGAGTCTTGGGTGGATGCTTTCTGTTTTGGCTGACTACTAGTGGACCAAATTTGCATGCTTGTTTCTCCCTGCTCCTCTGAATGTATATTTAATATGTATATTTATGTATAGGGGCCATCTGTTCTGACAGTGATGTAAAGGAAGTAGTTGTGGACTCTGTTGTATAAAGTACGGTTCTGGGTGCTTATCATAGAAGTCAGGTGCAGCTCATGTTCAGAGGGATTTTTACAGAATATGTTTGTTACAAATGTCAGATCTTTTCAAGAGCTTGAGGAGAATGCATAGCTTTATCCCGCTACCATTAGTACTGTAAGTCAGTAGTAATTTTGCTTCACCATTTTGACTGGATGCCTCTGAAAGCAACGACCCCTAAGCTAAGTATTCACCCTGTGATGGACGGCTGTTAGTTAAAAGACAGGCCAGATGGGTCAACATTTGAATGTTTACTCCAATTTTAAAGAAAAAACTTGCATGTCAAATTGTATTTTGATGCTGTGCCTTTCAATATACATTTTTAGTAATATTTCTATTTTGCTTTGGCAAATGTATAAAATACAGGCTGGGTATAAATTTATTAAGGCTCTGGTTTTTCTTTTACAAATTACTGTAACTTGTCTGACTTTTTTTCCTCAAAGGGTAGTATGTTTTTTTTTTAAAGTTGATACAGCGGTATACAGTATGTAAAGAATGCTTAATGTGTAGATAAGAAATATTGCTTGGCTCTATAGCCCGGACAATATATTTGCTGATTTTAGTTTATTGCATGTATATATTTTTGGCGAGTATGTCGGCCAATAAGTAATGTGTTGCATACTGAAATGTCTGTCCTCAAAACAGTCTTGATAGCATTTTACAAGGTAAAACAAGTCTCAGTATAGCGTGTTGAAAAAGTCCTAAAGCGAATGTCCTAAAATCAATTGTATAGTAGAACAAAAAATGTGACTGTATACTATAATGAAACGCAGCACCTTTTGTTAGATCGTCCCTGTTATTAATGCCCACATCCTTCAAACACGCTTCCAGCTTGTAACACAGGCTTTGAGTTATAAATGTTTAGTGTTAAAGACAAAGCTCAGACAACCCTGATGACATCATCGTGGTCATTTTCTTAGATCAGACTCTAAAGACACAGACAACATTATCTAGCTGTTTGCACCAGCAGAGTACTCCTCAAGCTGGTTGGTGTGTAACATCCCTTCATTCACACAGTAAAATAAGTAAAAGTTCTTACTTATTTGCAAAACACCAGCGCTGGAGGCCAAGTTCAGCAAAATCTTTATTGGTTGAGAAGAGCAATCACAAATGATAGAATATACAACCCCACCAGCATGCCAGTGTTTTCATAGAAACTGTACAATGTGAAGGAATGTATGGAGCAGGAATACATGGTCGTCATTATCAGAAGAAACAAACAAAAAAAAAATGTACATCCATAAGTTCTGGTACAGTACGAGTTGATTTCAATGAAATGTTTCTGGTCAGTTGCGTTTAAAAACCCTCAATAAATATTAAGCATGTTTCGGTGGTAGTGTCACATGACCTGCTTTCTTTCTGAGAGGGTCACTGGGGGCGGGGGGGGTCAGCTTTCTCTCTTCACTACCAGTGTCGGTCTGTGGGTGGGACCAGACACCGCCGAGGTCTCCAGCAGCAGACGGTACCTGGCTCAGCCTCCTCCTGTGCTTTCTCTGGGATGTCCTGACTGTGGCTACAAATTATGAAGCAATCTGAATGAGCGAGGGGGGGGAGGGAGGCTTGATGATGTGCAATAAGGCAAAGGGGATCAACTAAAAAATAATGCTCAATTACAAAGGTTTGTTTTTCACATAATTATAGTTTGTGCTAAGGCCTCATGGCTAAAAGAAACAAGAGTGCCAAGATCCAACAATATGGATTTTTCACTGGGTTTTTGTACCATTTCTCCAATTTAACATTCAGTCCCCTTGAATCACAAGGTCAGTGTATTTTGAAGAGCCTGTATCTGAGTATATGTATAAACATTCTCCACTACAACAGGGCTACAGGTGGTTATTGGTTGGTAGCGAGAGTAAGCCCTTGATATACAGACTACCTGATAGCAAGCACCGCCTGTACTCGCAAGGCAATAGACAGTAGGTTTAGACAGTCGACACATAAGGCAGCTTTTTTTTTTTACTTTTTAACTTCCTTGTTCACTTTGGCCCCAGTCCCCATTTGAAGGGGAGTGGGTGAATACATGTAGGGAAGGGAGAGAGGCGCTGTACAGCAGCTCTCTATGAATTGTTTTACAAGGCAGGTATTGGTAATTCTATCAAAAGACGGCAAACAAACAAAAGCTGTGTGGAGGGGTGGTGGATGATGTGGTGGGGCCTGCTATGGACACTACAGCTGATTAACAGTGATATGAATACAGTCACATTACACAACCTTTGATACAATTATATTAAAAAAAAGGCAAACAAAAGTTGATTGTACAGTTGCTTTTCCACATACTTCATAGTGAGAGAGGAAGACACCATTCTGGAGAGGTGGAAGGCGGGGTTAATCTCTTCAAGCAGCAAAAATCCAGAATAAAAATAAAACGGGGGGGCTGGGTGTGAGGAAATAAGGTGCTACATGAAACAGCTCAGTGGGAGGGTAGAGTGAGTGAGGATGGCAGGTTGGTGTGCAAGAAATAAAACGTCAGGCAAAAGGGGAGGTGCTGGGTGGACGGATGCTGCTACGGATGCTGACGGAGGTGGGGAGGATGGCGGGGTTTTTAAGACAGCGCGGCAGTAACTAAGACGTGAAATGTACAACAAAGTAAACACAAAGAAGGCATAAATGGTGGACACAGGGTGGGGATGGCGGGGAGCAGCTGAGGAACGCACAGGACTGGGGGATTTTTGATTCCCTAGCCCCCGAACACAAAGGCCTCTTTTAGTCCTTCCAGTCTTTCTTTATATTGAGGTTCCACTCCCAGGTCAGGTGGTCGTGCTTGTCGTCGTCAGTAAACTTGGATTTGATTGCGTAGTTGCCGCGGGCAAACACGCCGGTAGGAGCTTCCTCCATCACGGTCAGGAAGTCATATTCAGCGTGACGAGGCCCATAGCTCCCCACCATGTAGTCGGATTTATCAACTGTTAACAGATGAGAATGGACATTATGGTGAGATCATATCCTTATATACACACAAACAGGTAATTGCTTTATAAATACTGAGTGTTTTTTAGAGGAAGAGTTGGTGTTTTTGTGGGACAGGTCAACAAAAATTGTTCACTCACTCTTAATTCCTTTCCTGAATGTCTGCTGCACATACTTCAGTCCCGAAACAATCTCCTTGTTCACCTGCGGAGACACAAACATTGTTAAAGACATCAACAGGTATGTTCTGCTAACAGGGATAAGAAATGAACGATTTGAGGCAGGGTGCCCCTGAAACTTTTTAAATCTCATAGGATGGAGGAAAAATGCTGAGTAACCCGTTTAGCATCTGACCCGTTTCTTTCGTTGAGATATCAAAAGATAACTCACGACTGTGTCGCTTTTTATTAATAAGCCCTGCTCCACACATGCGTCCTATGAGCATAGCTGGATATATACTAAATCAATATCATGAATAAACTTAATACATATAGTGACATGTGGCTGTTGGTAGTGTGATACAGCCTGAATGTCTTTTCCATTTCACAGTTCTCACCTTAAAGCTGATCTTTATTTTGTATTCGACGCCCTCCTTCAGAACGAAAGCCTGCTTCTTAAAGGCTTCCAGGTCTCCTGTTACAAGAGGAAAAATGCACAGGCATCAATATTTTCTTCATAATAACTACAGTGACCAGTTGAGGTGTGAATCTTAACTGGCCTCACAATTAAGATTATGATTACAATTCACCTGTCAATGATTTAAACGCACAACTATTGTTGATGCTTCTGAATGTATCAAATCTTACATTTTCTATGAATTAGCCAAGCAGCTAGCAGACTTTTTCTAACTCACAGCTCTTCTAGTCTTACTTGGTTTAAGTCACCGCATCTCCCGACAGAACCAACACCACGGTTGAATTTCAGCCTGCATGCACATTTGTTTGTTGAAACAGAGCGGCTAATATTGGAAGAGAAACAAGTTAGCGAACTGCAGAGTTGCGTCTCTCTTCTCCACGCACAGAGTTTGTGTGCATTTATTCAAGTTTCTCACCAAAACTCAATTTTACAGGATTACATGTGAACTCCTCATGATGACGTTGTGATTTACCTTCGCTGAGTACTTCTTTTCACCGAAGTGTCTGAACGCATCATAATCTAACGGAACCTACGTACGTTGGCCATTAGCGATGCTACTACCGTTATTATAGATATGAGACCGTTACTAGCTCTCCTCGTGTCAATTTAAACACGCATTGGTTGTTTTCAATGTGACATTATCAGAGATCGGCGACTAGAAAAGCATGACTGCCAATGTCCTGATCACATATTTGACTGAATATTGGCGGATAGCGATCATCAGTGAAACTTTATTTCACACTGCGATGGTTAACGTTTAACTGTTTAATTAATCCGCGGTTCACATAAGTGAGGAACTGTGAGGTCCGTTACACCACAGTTGTTACTCTAACCACTGATGTTTGCTGTTGTTATGTACGGTGTTTTGGGAGGGTTTATGCTAAGGATGGCTACAGTGCGTCAATGAGCCATGATTTCAGGCCTGCCCAAAAAAATCCTTAACACAAATATGGTGATAAAACGATCTATGACAACAATTCAGTACTATATCATTTATAGTCTTTTCACATGTTTTCAGCCACTATTTAGTATTAAAACGTGTAATGTGTTCAGAGACTAATCTCAGATTATAGTTTAAGGCAAACATTTAATTTAACAATTAAGTGATCTCTGGAACAGGAACTCACCCTGCAGGTCCAGCACCAGGGGGTCTGGGGCGGTTTCACAGATCAGAGACATCCGGGTCACTTGGACATTTGGAACTTCAGGATCTGAGGTTGGATCAAAGAAACAGGTTGGTTCAATAATAAAAAATTAAAAAAAACACTTTCCCAGAGGTGACATTTTAGACACTGTACATACTAAACAGCTCCTTGTGAACACCTTTGACTGATATTTGTTTAATGAATGAGTTAGCTAAGACCCCCCACGGCCCCTCTGCCTCACGCCTCGCTGCTGGGACTACTCTGCCGGGAGCAGAGCGGACATCGGCTCTGGAGACGGACCTTCTAACTCAAATTCACCCGTTGTATACCCCAACGCCGGGGTTCACAGCGGGCTGGTGGCCAGCAGGTCTAACCGCTGATCATTACACAGAACCAACCAGAGTTCTTTACAGTCCACCAGTCCACACCAGCTGTTATAGGATTCCAAGGTTTTATTCCTGTTCTATGTGTAATACAAGTTACACATAGAACATTTAACGCAGAGGTATTTGTTGTGACATAACAGGACAGCTTAGACCAAATAAGAGGCCTGCACATGATGCCTGGTGATGTGTCCTACAACATGCAGCTGTCTGAGTGAGCGGTCTCACTTCACAGGACAGCTAAGCTGTAGTTGGGACAGCCTCTACATTAATTAGAATTTAGATTATTCTTAGTCCCACCGAAGACACTTTATCTCTTCACTTCTGAACATACTGATTTATCAATGTGCTATTAAACTCTCGGTCACAGTTTGCCATAAATGGATGCAATTTCATAGAATTTTTTCTTACATTTATTTAGAAGTTGACTTTTCTGAAACTAACTGGTTTGGGGGGGGGGGGGGAGAAGAGAGAGGATCCTTCCTGACTCATTAGCAGAGCGAAAATGATGTTCAACAGAAAGATAGATCTAGGATTCATGTATATATGACACACACACACACACACACACACACACACACACACACACACACACACACACACACACACACACACACACACACACACACACACACACACACACACACACACACCAGCCTCAGAGTTCCCTTGGCCAAGCAGAGCTTGCTTATATTTGCGTAGGCTCTCATCATCCTTATCCAACTCCTGGATCTCTTTCATTGACTTTTGGGCTGGTGGCTTGTAGTTCACCAGCTCTGGCTCTTCGTTTTCAGCTGCAATGGCTGTAAGCTGCTCTGGAGTCACCTCATCATCGGCCATGTCTGGAGACGGGTTGGGTACAAGGGGAGGGAGGGGGGAGCAGGTAGGGTTGAGAAAAATAAGAAGAGAAAGACTTTGTCGAACACACAGAATGCAGATAATTACTCCAGTATTCAGAATGGGCACTTGTCTCTTGGGGAAGAGGTTGTAAATCACTGGACAAACAGATGACCACAACAATAATGCAAGTGAGAAATGTGCTGATAAGGCAGCTGCCGCAGCAGCATTTCTCCTTACACTCCTGCTGCTGCGGACCCAACTCTGTCTGCTGAGTGATATCATCTTAACACATTTCTCTGAAATGACAACATCACCACCACTAGGAGAGAAATGAATGAGGCATCACATGATACAAAACCATTCCAGGGGAGGGTATGGCCCCTCACGGGCCCAGGCACTATTTAGGTCATGCCAAAAGCAGGGATGGACAGAACCGCTTGCCAGGGGCAAGTAAACTAGTGAAATGCCTCATGCGGTTGTCTGTAAGGGAAAAATCAATGTGATCTTTATTGATATCCGCAGGAGAGCTGGTAAACGTGAGCAACCGGCTAGCAGCACAGTCCTGCTTGGCTAAGAGCGTAGCAACATTTGGAACTAACTTAATCAGACATGAATATTATTGATTCATTGACATGCATGCTGCTCCGAGTACCCGCAGAGACCAGGGTCTGCCTACAGCACAGGGTCTCTCTTTCTAGCACAGTGCTGCTAAGCTAACAGATAATGATCTCTTCAGCGACATTAAAGTGCGTTCAAGCTCCAAACCGTAAAAATTAGTATTGGCCGAAGGTAAATTACAACGTTATCATGATGTGTTCAAATGTAATCTTGTATAATTTTAGTTTTGGCGAGAGACTTGAATAAATAGTTGTCTGAAGTAGAGGTTTTTCACAGCAATACAAAATACATATTAGAGAGGGAATTATGATATATTTCCCAACACTAGCTCTAAGCAGCTTATAACACATAATGAAAACTACTAATGCCTCCCAAAAATCAATTACATTACTAAATAATTGCTTTTAAAAACATAAATATATTTTTTAAAGAAATAAATATATTTTTTAAAGAAATAAATTCAGAACAGGATTAGAATTTATATTTTAAATATATCTAGATATTGTTTAAAGAACAGCAACAGTTATGTTTACAACAACAAATTCACTATAGAAATATCTCACTGGAAACATATGTTAATAAAATAAATGACACTTTTAAGTAAAGTTTATAAAGAACACAGACATCCTTCAGTATGTCATATATACATATACATATACATTTCAGTATTAAACAAGAACAAACTGCAGGGCAACAGCACGACGCATCCAGTCTCCTGCAGGCCTGATTCACTGAGTGCATGTCAAATAATACAGACTTATATGGAAGAGATGGAAATAAAATACATGTTTTCTCTTTGTGCAAATCACAGCAATTAGAAATCAATAACATTACGACATTAAAATGTCAAGATGGCTATGAAGAGGCTAAACGCAGCTACAGTAGTGATAAACTGTACCCTTTATGTCATGTCAGTGGTACCGTTAGCTAGCTAACCATCACCGCTTTTCTTATCGCCATCTCATAAAACCCGCTAGAATATCGCTGTTGACAGCACACTGCCAGCTGCACTTTAGTTAACTAACGTGATTGATTGAAAGGATTTATACTCACTAATGTGGCTAAACTTGTCTTAGCGCAGACCCTCTCATACACAGGGTGGGACTGGAGAGAGAGAGACAAGTGGCTAGGAGCTGGGGCTGGAACAATCAGGAACAATTCACCCAAGCTAACCCGAGACTGTGGCTAACATTAGCCTAACAAGTTGCCATCAGGAGTGACATTAAAACGGCTCCAGTTAGGATTACCCTGGACACGTCGTTATTAGCTGCCCTTGAAACGAATGCTCACTTACCTTTTTTTTAATGCAGTTGTGATTTCAGGTGCCTTTACAGTGGCGCTAAGGTGCGTCCGTTACTCTGCGCTTCTGAGCGAGTATGGCGAACAAGGGAACGGCGGCGGCGCCGCCCAGTGCGCTGCGCACGCAACACTATTCCGGGAACAGGTCTAACAACCTATAAAATGTCACTTACGTCATTAGTCACTCAAGTCACATAGGTGCCAAGCCGGTATTCTATTTTAATTTCTTTGTTATCAATAACCAATCAACTATCAAACTGATAATATTTTATTATATCTTTAGCCGGCTCTCTCGAGCATGATTCCTATTGTCATATGTCTCTAGAAATCTGGGACTTTCTATATGGTACTTGTAAATGTGTTCTTCACTTTAAGCTGATGCAATATGACTGTTGAGACACCCTACATTCATTTGGAGATTTAACAGTCTTATTTAGTAGAAACAATCCATGTGAAGGTGTAAAAGAAACAGACAGGGAGATGCAGTGTTGGTTACTTCTCGTCATAATTTAGGTGTGTGCTAGCCAATAATATAGGCTAGATGAGCATGAATGTAATGTTAATTCACTGAGGAGAGTCTGACATACATTAATAAATTGATTTGGTTATAACTGCAGTCTGGTCAGCAATAATAGTTTGGTTATCTATGACGTAAAAAAATAAACTTCTTTTATTTTGTGGACACATTTTCAGCCAACGGTGAGTTATTTCACACAAATATGATGGTATATTATATGGAGAGTATATGGCACCAATGAAGACTTATAATACTGTCAAGATGAGGTAATGATTCATCCTTCTTTCATAGGTATTTTTGGAACAGGTTCATACACACTGCACAACAGTGAGGCAGTGCAAAATCGTATAACTTAATACTCTACGAATACTTTTATAGTACAGGTTTCTTATTTTATTCTTGGTCACTTTGACTTCATTAGGGATTCATAAGATTGTTCATAATAAAGAAATCTAAACAATAATCTGACATTGGTTTAACAAAGTGAGAATGAGACTCAGTAACTTTTAAAAGTGGAACGGTAACAATCCTCCCATCACAAAATTAAATCTACTAAAGCCATTTGGCCTGGTATTACCAGCAATCAGTAACTGACATTACTGATTGCTACTTGTGCCACACTGTTTCAGCATTATCCCATAATTGTCCCTTGTGGCCACATTCAGCAAAATTGTCTTGCTTTAAAATTTGACATTTTGATCTGCTTAAGACATCTGAATAGCTAAAGTTGCAGTGACTGATGTATTAACAAATATACAGAATAGGTAAAATATCACAAATCTTGTTTTCATTCATTTCTTTTATAAAAAAAAAAAATAAAAAAAAAAAAAAGGCAAAAACTGTCAGTGAAGAGCAACTCAACTGTGTCTCAGGAGGAGAAATCTCCAAATAACCAAACACCAGAAAGAATTCCATATAATTATTTATGTACAAAACCCTTTGAAATATGTCATGTATACAGTACCAAATGACAGAACTGCGTTACATTAACATGTTTAACATTACATTACAGTCTGTCAAACCACTGAATCATGTTTATGCGATTTAAGAAAAAAATCATGTAGGTTTACAGCAATTGTCCATACATGTGGAAAAAAAGCTCAGGAGCCGGTGGCCCAGGAGAAAAATCCCAAAACATAAAACTGAAGCATGGCTAAAAAAAAAAAATACAGAATATTAAAACCAACAGAATATAATGGTCCATACAATAAAATAGTTTAAAAAAAATTAAAAAAAAGTGTAATAAAGTCCGATCAATCACATCCAATTGATTTAAAAAATAAAAATAAAAAATTAAACAAAAAAGGGGACAGAAGCATCATCCTTTGAGCACCTTTAACTGGTTTCCATCTGAAACTCAAATAGGAGAAACACAATTATAATAAAATATACACAGTATGGTCAAAATATAGAATCATTATTTCATGCAAGCCGAGTACACACCTTGGCATTGTAAGCATCCAACTGGGCATCCAGCTCCTCTGCTGAAAGTTGGGGTCTGTTTCCACCTCCTCTTCCTCCTCTTCCACCTCCTCTTCCACGACCTCTGAAGCCTCCACCTTGTCTCCTTTCACCTCGATCACCCCTATCTCCACGATCACCTCTGTCACCCCGATCACCTCTGTCACTCCTTTCAAACTTGGGCTGTCCAAGCCTGCTGCGGTCAAACCCTCCGTTTGAACTGCAAAAAAAAGATCAGACATTTTCAGATGCAACCAGATATTTACAGTAAAATAACCTAATAACCTTCAATCACTGGCACACACACATAAAATACACTGTGCAATTTAGTAACAATAGCATCCTGTTGCAGAGCTCCAGACTTTGGCATGTCCATCACCAGCACCCACGGTGGAAAAATCACGTTTACACATAACATCGTATCTTGATGATAGTCTCTAACACAAATGTCCGTCACTTCCTTCTACAAGTTCAGGACTGGGAAGGTTCTAACCGACGAGGTAACCCAGAGCTCTGGAGTCAGACCCTTCTCGTTAGCAAAGCATAAATGTTTGACCGTTCTCCCGCCATTATTGCCAATAACTTATCTTCCCAAACTTAAACTGCGTCGTCCTTTCCACATGACTCACCTTTGTGTAGAAGGTCTACTCTCAGTGTCGACTTCTGAAGTCACTTGCTGGATTTTCATGGGGCGGCCTAAAAAATAAAAGAAACAAGAGAACATCTTTCCTGAGCACTTCTGAACAAGCAACCACAGCACGACAATGCTATTGTAGAATGAGAAAGGTAACCTCACCATCAAGTGGGACGCCGTTATAGTGCTTCATGGCTTTGAGTGCTTCTGCCTTGGTTTCAAAGTGGACGTCTGCATTTCCTTTACTGCGACCAGACCGGTTGTAGTGTACAGATGCTTTCTGTAATGTCCCAAACTCCGCAAACAATTCCTGTGGATCAAAGTAGGAACATCAGTCTCGTTCACAACACGTTGATGCTAGCAAAGTGGATTCCACAGGTTTTTATAAATTACCTTGATATCCAAGTCGGAGACACCAAAGTCCAGATTGGAAACCAGCAGCTTGCCATTATTTTCTACACTTCTGTCGGCTCCTGCACTTTGTCCTCTGTGCCCACCACCAGCATGCTCCTCGAACATGTCGTGCTGCCATTTGTCTGGCAACTCTCTGGGCTGTGAAGAGAAATAAAACAAAACTGTCATGTCTTCAGGTTCTGGTAAAGCTAGATTTGGTGAAAATATGATACTTGATCGTCTTAATAGAGTCATATCGTGATACATGAGGAGATATCATGATACACAATTACATTGTCTAAATTAAGCATAGACACGTGCCAACTCAAATTTATCAGAAAATTGTAAGAAATGCATTTTTATTTAAACGCTGGATCATTTTTGGTAAATAAATGGCGACCAGTAACTGATCCTCCTCACATGACAATTCAAAGGCCAACTTTTAAAGGCACAGCCTCAGACACAAAGCAGCCATGTTGCGCAAAGCTCCATCCACACATGAGGACTTATTGACGATGAATTTATCAACCGATAGTTTCCGAACAAAGCTGAAGTTAAGAGCTCCGGCAAAACCTAAATTCAGACACATGATGTAACATAATCCATGCGGGGTATTTCAGGTAACTAGTAATTGAGGATATTTAGCTTATCCACTCAACCTAAAATGCTAACTATCCAAAATTCTCGACAAAAAACACCACGAAACAACGCGCGAATTTCATTTCAGTTTTTCGCTCCGTTTTAACTGCGTCTCGCTCATACCCGGGTGTACGGTGTGGATCTGTTGTTCCTCTCGCGGTTGAAGTTATTCTCTCGATTCCGCACCGGCCTTGACGATCCACCGGCCCGACCTGAACTTCCACCCTGCCCGCCAGACGATCGTCCTCCGCGGCCGCTGCCTCCTTTCTTGTTGAGCTTGATAATGTCGTCCAGAGACATGCTCATCTTATCAGACATCATGGTGGCTACGCGTTAAGCTAATGCCGGAGACGAACAAAGAACTTTCGGTGTCGAGACGCGGGTTGTTTATCGGCTGCTTTCTCCAGTGGCGCGGTGTTAAAGCTAGCGGAAGTTACGATGTACCATATGCCCCGCCCTTTCCTCTTAAAAAAAACAACTTTATTGACAATTTGCAACAAGGATCTGCATACATATCGTGTGAATCTGTGAACTTGTAAATAAAGCATTTTGATTGTTTAGTGAATATGTTTTTCTCAATCGAGAACATCGTTAGTTGTTTGTCGTTAGTTCTTGGTTTGCGGTCCTAATTAATAAATATGATATTTTACCCGAAGACAAATCACTTATCATTTGTAAGAAGGAGCAGATAAAAACTAAAAGATCAGAATCAGAATCAGTTTTATTGGCGTTGTATGCGTACGCATACAAGGAATTTGACTCCGGTTTATCGTTGCTCTCCACATACATACACAGAATTTACAAACAGATGTATGCACAAACATTTAACGACTATGTACAATATAAATACAAATATATATCTATACTTATGTATTCAGAGAGCAAACGAGCACCCGCCAAAACTAGTAACTGTGTACCAGCCATTATAAAACATGTAGGCCTACAACTGATTCTGTTACAAAATGTTCAGTTCAAGATTTTTATTGTTCGACATGAGGATTAAAATATAAGCACAAAAAACACAGAGAATTGAAGACATTAAAAGTATGTATAGGCTGCATGCAAATTACAGTTTCTTTAAAGAGCAACCTCGATACTCAATGTAAAACGTTTATTGCTCAACATTAATTATGAGGACTGGTCATCGATTGTGTGTATCCACAGACATAAGACACAAGGTGCAGGCATGAAAATTTAACCTCATCACAAATAGTTTCTTACTTTTTAGTTGACCGTTTTCTGCCTGACTGTATGAACTCAGTGCTCTTGGTTATAAAAGATAAAACAGATGGCATTCGTAGTAGTGATGAATGGAGCAGCTCTGGCTAGTGTCCTTTCTAAGGTGAATGAGAGAGTTCTGATAGACAGGTTAGAATTATTTATTTCTACAAGTGATAATGAATTTGGTTTTAAAAGCAACCAAGACACAAAAACATAATGTACATATTTACTTATTGTTGCCAGTAACCATTGTTGCAATTTCACTTTGTTCATCGGTTTCTTGGATACATCTAAGTTTTTGATTGAATCAATGAAGATTTATCAGATTCATAAAATGTGTGTGAGAGGAGTACCTAAATAATTGCTCAGAATATATGCCAATATGTATACCTATCAGACCATGCAGATAAAATGGGGTAGTGGTGTATGTGACTCTTTTCATGTAACAGGGTTTGGCAGAATAGGATATTGTTCTTTTCCTGCTTAATTTTTGTGTCAATGTAATTTTCAGGCAGTTAAATGACTGGTTGTGTTTTTGGTAATTTCATTATTAATGATTTTATGGGATTATTCTTTAACCAGAGGTCACGTATCATGTACTGCATGACGTGTAGGATTTGAAAATGTTTGTCTTTAGTGCCATCAGGTAGTAGTAGCAATAATAACACTGTGTCTGACAGCAATGCACACCACTTGATGTTTAGAATTGTATCTATTTTAAAAATGATCAACAGCCTAAATGTATTTTAAGCATATAAGGATATGCACTGTACAAATTCAATACAGACTTTGTATGTATTATATATCAGTAAACAAGGCAACAAATGTAACATGTTATGAATTATATATATTATTATGACCTGTTTGATGTAAATCTGTTCATTCAAGAGCCACGTTTTAGCCTATTATTAAACTTTTCTCATCGCAGACATTTTGACGTGTCAGAGGGAAAAGTTCAGATGTTATTAATAAACCTGCATGTAGGCTGCAATATTAGAGCTGATGAACAACTAAGTGTAATCCTCTTATCAATATTGTTCATTACACCTGTGTTTGACAAGTCACAGTGTCTGCTGTGAGCGGGCTATTATTATACAAAGTAGTAGTGAGTTTGTTTGTGGTCACAAAGAGCCACAGTGCAGCTACTAAACCCACACAGGTGTTTTCACCTGCTGGCTAATTAGACAAGCCGTTCCTCCCAATCACCCCCCGCCAGGTTTCTCCGTCATCGCCCACGTGAGCGTTGAAGTCCCCCAGGACAACTATGGAGTCGGTAGGCGGCGCCCTTTCCAGGACCCCTCCCACCGACTCCAAGAAGGCCGGATACTCTGAACTGCTGCTTGGTGCATAAGCACAAACCACAGTCAGAGCCTTGCTCCCCGCAACCCGTAGGCGCATGGAGGCGACCCTCTCGCTCTCCGGGGAGAACTCCAACACAGCGGCGCTCAGCCGGGGGCTCGTGAGTATCCCCACTCCCGCCCGGCGCCTCTCACCCTGGGCAACTCCGGAAAAGGACAAAGTCCAACCCCTCTCCAGGAGCTTGGTTCCAGAGCCAACGCTGTGTGTGGAGGTGAGTCCAACTATTTCTAGCTGGTATCGCTCCACCTCCTGCACCAGCTCCGGCTCTTTCCCCGCTAGCGAGGTGACGTTCCACGTCCCTAGAGCTAGTCTATGCCGCCGGCGATCGGCATGCCCGGGCCTCCCGCCCGGGGTGGCTGCTCCATGGTGTTTATTCAGGCTGAGCCCGACCGGGCCCCATGGGCAAAGGCCCGGCCACCAGACGCTCGCCTACGAGCTCCCCTCCTGGGTCTGGCTCCGGGAGGGTGCCCCGGTTTCCCTGGTCCGGGCGAGGTGGCTGTAGTCCGTGGGCTAACTATCATAGGGGTTGTTTTGAACCGCTCTTAGTCTGGGCTCTCCCCTGAAACCTGTTTGCCTTGGGAGACCCTACCAGGGGCTAATGCCCCGGACAACATAGCTCCCAGGATCACTGAGCCACTCAAACTCCTCCACCACGATAAGGTGGCGATTCACGGAGGAGGGTTGCCCGATCTGAACCCGAATGGTGTTTCGTTATTGGACTTCTGTGCTTGCCATGGTTTGGCCATAACGAACACTATGTTCGAACATAAGGTGGCTCATAAGTGTACCTGGTACCAGAACACCTTAGGCCGGAGATCAATGATCGACTTTGTAATCGTATCATTTGATCTGCGGCCGTATGTCTTGGACACTCGGGTGAAGAGAGGAGCAGAGCTGTCAACTGATCACCACCTGGTGGTGAGTTGGATCAGATGGCAGGGGAACCGGTCGGAAAGACCCGGCAAACCCAAACGTGTAGTGAGGGTGAACTGGGAACGTCTGGCGGAGGACCCTGTCCGGGAGGTCTTTAACTCCCACCTCCGGAAGAACTTCTCACACATCCCGAGGGAGGTTGGGGACACGGAATCCGAGTGGACCATGTTCAAAGCCTCTATTGTGGACGCGGCCGCTAGGAGCTGTGGCCGGAAGGTCATCGGTGCCTGTCGTGGCGGCAACCCGAGAACCCGGTGGTGGACACCGGAGGTGAGGGAAGCCGTCAAGCTGAAGAAGGAGACCTTCAAGGCCTGGTTGGCCCAGGGGTCTCCTGAAGCAGCTGACAGGTACCGGCAGGCCAGAAGGGCTGCAGCTGCGGTGGTCGCGAATGCTAAAACTCGGGCATGGGAGGAGTTCGGGGAGGCCATGGAGAAGGACTTTCAGTTGGCCTCAAGGAGGTTCTGGCAAACCATCCGACGGCTCAGGAAGGGAAAGCAGGGCTTACCCCAGGCTGTTCTCAGCAGGGGGGGGGGAACTGCTAACCCGGACAGAGGACATCGTCGGGCGGTGGAAAGAGCACTTTGAGGAACTCCTAAACCCGACCAACATGTCCTCTGCAGAGGAGGCAGCGCCTGAGGACCCAGGAGGAGGCTCACTCATATCCCTGGCAGAGGTCGCTGAGGTAGTCAAAAAGCTCCTTGGTGGCAAGGTGCCGGGGGTGGATGAGATCGGCCCTGAGATGCTGAAGGCGCTGGACATGGTTGGGCTGTCCTGGATGACACGCCTCTTCAATGTCGCATGGGGGTCGGGATCAGTGCCCATGGAATGGCAGACCGGGGTGGTGGTTCCCATCTTCAAAAAGGGGGACCGGAGAGTGTGCTCGAATTACCGGGGTATCACACTACTCAGGGCGCAGCCTGGGGGCGGAGAACGTCAGTCTCGGGGGTCTCGGGATCGCTTCTCTGCTATTTGCAGATGATGTGGTCCTGTTAGCCTCCTCGGATCATGACCTCCAGCATTCACTGGGGCGGTTTGCAGCCGAGTGTGAAGCGGCGGGGATGAGAGTTAGCACCTCCAAATCTGAGGCCATGGTTCTCTGCCGGAAACCGGTGGATTGCTCCCTCCAGGTGGGGACGGAGTGCCTACCTCAAGCGAAGGAGTTCAAGTATCTCGGGGTCTTGTTCACGAGTGAGGGTAAGATGGAGCGGGAGATCGACAGACGGATCGGTGCAGCTGCAGCAGTAAAGCAGGCGCTGCACCGGACCGTCTTGGTGAAGAGGGAGCTGAGCCGGAAGGCAAAGCTCTCAATTTACCACTCGGTCTACGTTCCTACCCTCACCTATGGTCACGAACTCTGGGTCATGACCGAAAGGACAAGGTCGCGGCTACAAGCGGCCGAAATGAGTTTCCTCCGTAGGGTGGCCGGGCTCAGCCTTAGAGATAGGGTAATGAGCTCGGTCATCAGGAGGGAGCTTGGAGTAGAGCCGCTACTCCTTCGCGTCGAAAGGAGTCAGCTGAGGTGGTTCGGGCATCTAATTAGGATGCCTCCTGGACGCCTCCCACTGGAGGTTTTCCAGGCACGTCCAACTGGGAAGAGACCCCGGGGAAGACCCAGAACACGCTGGAGAGATTACATCTCCCAGCTGGCCTGGGAACGCCTCGGGATCCCCCAGAATGAGCTGGAACATGTTGCCGGTGAGAGGGAGGTCTGGGTCGGCCTGCTTGACCTGCTGCTACCGCGACCCGACCCCGGATAAGCGGTGGAAAATGGATGGATGGATGGATGGCTAATTAGACCAGGGTAGGACATTTACATATTTTTTTGGGGGCAACTTTTGCCCCCACTGACTGAAATCCAGGGGCATTTTCAAAAAATTGGGGGCACTTTTTGAAACTTGTGAAATAACATTTAACCTTTGTTCAAAATAATAAATATACTTATTTAGGCTTACAGTATATGAGCAATTGTCATCAAATGGCAATAATAATACTATTAGGCAGTAGTCTACAGATTCAAAGTGTTTTCTTAGATTATTTTGACAAAAAACAAACGTAAATCAGACAATCATTTTCAATTTATTCTTATTTCTTTGTGGTTATTTATTGTTATTATTAAATGTTTTAAACAACTATTAACAATTATTAAGTCAACGATGCCTTGATTACATATACTTCAGTCATTGTATGGAATTATTGAGAAAAAATATTTTTGTAGCACCTCAAATATTGTGCTATTAGCCATTTTTGTCCTGAACATATGCATCAGTCATTGTGTGGAATTTTTGAGAAAAACATTTTTATAGCACCTTAAAAATTAAAAAAATGTGCCATTTGAAGGTACAAATTCAGTTCAGAGTTTTTACTTAGTAAATCCTAATTGACTGTCAGTCAGGTATTATTCATTTCCAGCAACCCTCAAATCAAAGAATAAAGACACTTTACGCACAATTTAGGTGTATTTTACCTTTAACTCACGAGATGCAGGTAGCATGTTTTATACTTAATGTGAATATAATTAATTTAATCTAATTTCCATTATGCAATATGTATACTTTGTTGGCATCTTATTCTGAAAACCGGATGTTCGTCTGAAGAAACCGGATGTTGTCTCACGTTAATCTTTCCATTAACTTTCAAAGTCCTTCGCTCTCTCCCGATCTGCGCCGTTTGAATGAGTTTACCGTGAATTTCAGGATATAGGTGCACTAAAATTTAAGTATCTGCTGAGTTGACCACAGTCTCGCAGTCACAGGTCTGATTAAGAAGCGCTCCATTTTTTTATTCGTTTAGAAAGTTCGGGGGCATTTTTTGCCCCTCTCCTAGTGATATCAGGGGCAAAATGATATTTCTTAGGGGCAGTTTTGCCCTTTGCCCTCGTGTATTTCCGACGCTGAATTAGACTGTATCTGTGTATCAGACACAGGAGAGTGAGCCACAAGATCTGTTCTGCAATAAAATTGTCTCCCCCTAATGGAGAGATAAAACTGTGAAAATCATGTGTTTTCCTTTAAACTATATCATAAGTGTTTCAGACTTATAATCCATGGAACATTAGTTTTACCACTGATGTATTTCTGTGAGACATGACACCCGTGCTGTCATCAAGGTTTTTTTTTTCCTGCCTTAATGGCTGCATTCCTCAACTCGTCCAGGTAAGATGATGTAGCACAGAGATCTGAGTTCACTGCTTATTAGTACATTCATCATCAGAACTTTAGAGATTCACATTTTTAATATTTTCATATGAGAAGTGCACAAACAAAGGATTGCCTTGTGCTTCTCCAAGCTCTGCCACACTGCCACTCACTTTACAATGTTGTGAGGAGCGACTTAAGATCTTGAGTGCAAAAAGAAAATCTCTTTAATTTCTTATTATTTAAAAAATATATAACTTTAATATCACATTTATTTCATTTTGGATTTGTAAGTAATGCAGTTGCCTTTGATAGATGTACTAATGGGTGTGACAGATTTAGGTACTGAATTTGATAGACTTTTTGAATGTACTCTATCAATCTGATTAATTTAATTTAATTGAGCTGAACTGAATTGTATCACATTATGTGTTATCCTAAGAAATATATATATTTTCCCAACATCATATATAGTTGTTTTGTGAATAAAAAATGATAATTGACAGAGAGGAAGGCAAATATTCTGAGCAGAAGAAACTATTCCATGAAAAAATTCCATGGCAGCCAAAGCAGTTTTCAACGTTTCTAAATTATCTCCAGAGAGCGTCTTACAGTTTTTTTTGTCAGATAATACTCATGTGTTCAAGGAAATTTAGTTGCTGATAAAACAGTCCCTCGCAAAGTAAACTGAAGAACTACTAGGCACCCAGAATGCAAGATTAGCCGTGGACAGACATAAAAATGCACACTCATGGACACGTAAACACGTGTGGAGTTGCATAGCGTCATTGTTATCTCATTTATTTGCGCTCTACCTAAATTGACTGTGGAGGGTGTGTAAAATTATGGAGCGAATGATCACAGAAAGACTAACATACTATTTGCAAACAAGGAATATTAGGTCAAAGTATCAAAGTGGATTTAGAAAAGGAAGGGGAACAATGGATCCAATAGCATGTCTAGAAGCAGAGGTGAGGAAGGCACAAGTGAATAAGGAGGTAGTGGTAGCAGTGTTTTTTGATGTGGAGAAAGCATATGATTTACTGTGGAAAGAGGGATTATTAATCAAAATTAGAAAATTGGGAGTATCGGGTAAAATGTTCAGATGGGTTAGACATTTTTTGTTCGGTCGTTCAATAGAAGTGAGAGTGGGAAGGTGTTTGTCGGCCAGCCAGTTGGTGGAAAATGGAACACCACAAGGAAGTGTGATTAGTCCGTTATTGTTCTCAATAATGATTGATGATGTATATGAAAATGTTGGACAAAATATAGGAAGATCTTTATTTGCAGATGATGGGGTTCTGTGGAAAAGAGGTATGTGGAATATGTTGTGAAACAGATGCAGGAAACAATCAAAAGAGTGGAACAGTGGGCATTGGAATGGGGATTTAAATTTTCAGTGGAAAAAACAAATACCCTTTTCTTTACAAGAAAGAACATTGGAACAGAGGTCAAATTGTATTTATATGGTAAGGAACTGAAAAGGACGGATTCGTACAAATTTTTAGAGATGTGGTTTGATGCTAGGCTCACATGGAATGTCCATATTGATAAAATGGTTAATAAATGTAAAAAGGTGTTGAATGTAATGAGATGCTTGGTGGGAACAGAGTGGGGAGCTGACAGGGCTGCTTTGAAAGCTATATATATGGGGTTGATAAGATCAGTAATAGACTATGGCTGTGTGGCTTATAGGTCGGCGTCTAAAACATTATTGAGAAAATTAGATGTAATACAAGCACAAGCATTAAGAATACGTAGTGGGGCATTGCAGGTAGAAATGGGGGAGATGCCATTGGAGCTGAGAAGAGTACAGATAATGATGACCTATTGGGCTAGTTTACAAGGACACAACAACCATCCAACAGTAAGGGCAATTGAGCCATGCTGGGAACATGCAAAAACGCTGACAAAGAGCTTTGGTTGGGTTGCTAAGGAGAAGGCTAGGGAATTGGGTATATTGGATAGGAGTTATTCTCCAGCTGTGGTTCTGCCAGCTATTCCTCCTTGGTTACTGCCACAGCCTGAAGTTGATCTTGGCCTCCTTGAAGTAATGAGAGATGAATGTGGGGTAAACTGGGATATTCAAGTCATACATCAGGAGGAATTATCACAATTATATACAAATTTATACAGATGATCAAAAGACCCCAATAATGGTAGAACAGCAGCAGCAGCAGTAATACCAGATTTCCAGTATGAGTGTGGGAAGAGACTGAGTGATGACTTGTCGGTGTTTGCATGTGAGATGATGGCCATAGTTATTGCATTGCAGTGGGTAGAGGACATCAGGCCAGAGAGAGTAGTGATTGCATCAGATTCATGTGCAGTACTGATGAGTCTGAAATTTAGCCACTCCAGATGCAGAGAGGATTTACTGTTTGAAATATTACAAGCACTATACATAATCCATCAAATGCGGATAGTGGTTAAATTTGTGTGGGTTCCTGCCCATGTTGGAGTCGATGGCAACGAGATGGCGGATAAAGCAGCAAAAAAGGCTTTGAAGAGTGGGAGAAATATTGTTAAAGTAAATATAAGTAAGTCAGAAGCTAAAGTGGTGATTAAGGGACAAATCAAAAAGATATGGCAGACAGAATGGAATAAAGGGAACAAAGGAAGATATCTGTTTAAAAATAAACCATTGGTTGGGAGTGCAGGGCCTAGTGGACGAAATAGAAAAGAGTAGAGGGTAATGACAAGATTAAGGAATGGACATACTGGTCTTAATAGTTCCCTCTGTATTATTGGAAAACATAATTGTCGACTGTGTGGATTTTGTGATGAAGAGGAAACTGTGGACCATGTGTTAGTGTCATGTCAGAGGTACGAGGCAGAGAGAGAAATATTAAAAAGTGGTCTAAGAGAGTTGGGAGAGGAGAATATAACTGATGTATTAAAGAAAAGCTTTGGTGAAGAGTGTTGGAAGCCTCTTTTGGAGTTTTTGGAGGCAACAAGACTAGTGAATAGAATCTGAGATTTATATTTGTTTTGTTTTATTTTGTTTTATTTTTTGTTTGTTTGTTTGGTTTTCGTATTAGATAATTACAATCCTTAGTCCACACTCCAGATTAGTGGGTGGCGGTAATGCACCTAAAAGTTGTTTGCCAACCGCCATTAAAAACAAAAGAAGAAAAGAAGATGACTGTGGAGGGCAGCGTGTCGCGTCCAAGCATACAGCCGGCTGGAATTTCAACAGACGAAGAAGAAATTCTCCCCGAGTTCCTACAGTACCAGCTGCATGTTGCTCACTAGCATCAAACTGGGCATACCATGATATCTAGATTGCAAAGAAACATTATAACTTAATTTGAATTTAATAATGGATATCTGAAGGAGACGTTGGACGCTGACTAGTAAGTTGGCTAATATCTAGCACAGCTAGCTACACAAGTCATCTGTTAGCTTTAGCTCACATGCTAACGTTAGCTGCTGTGGTTCTTATGGGAGTGTGTCATTGAGTGTTTCTGCTGTTGTCAGACACGCAGGATGAAGGTAAAGATCCGACAGTGGAACGGAGTGGCCTCTTGGTTATGGGTGGCTAATGATGAAAACTGTGGGATCTGCAGGATGCCTTTCAATGGCTGCTGCCCAGACTGTGAGTAGCCAAGCTAACGTGATGTTGTGCATTACGTTACGTGTCTGGCATTAGAGTACCGGTTCCGGGCTGCTGCTTCTTGAGATGTCCAGAACTTCCTGCAACGGCAACTCCAGCAGTCCGTTATATATGCATGCGTGAGGCTTTTCCATGGTTTACAATGTATTTTAGAAAGTCAATCAATATCTTAGCATAATTAGTTACAGTTGGTTGGAAAAGCACGGCAGAACATAAAGATCATGTAAAGTTGTGTAGTAATAACAGGTGATGCAAATTTCAATCCATCCAATAGTTTTTTTTGTCATTACAGCTAATTTATTGAGCTGTAACGGTAAAACTAATGATGCTGTAACGAAGGCACAATATGCAGTATATTAAATTATGAGTGTTGATGGTTAGGATTCTTTTCTCACCATTGAAACTGAGTTGTAATATTAAACTTATTTCGCAGGTAAAGTGCCGGGGGATGACTGCCCGCTGGTCTGGGGTCAGTGCTCCCACTGTTTCCACATGCATTGCATCTTGAAGTGGCTGAACTCGCAGCAGGTCCAGCAGCAGTGCCCCATGTGCCGACAGGAGTGGAAGTTCAAAGAATGAACTTGTGGCGGCTGCAGAGACTCAGAGAGAGACAGAGAACCTCACAGAGGCCTGTTCTTGGATTTCATTTTTATATCAGCTGTACATAACTTTTTTTATTCCTCATCTGATGTAATTCAAAGGACATTTGGAACCTGTTGTATGTGATTTAAATAGAATAAAACCTACTTCACACTGTATGCCTCTTGCTTTGCACGGTACCCGTAGCGACAGTGTTTCATCAGTATGGTTGATTGCCCCAGAGAGGCCTCTGGCAGCGCTTTTGAAGCAGCCTGAATGTCAGTGTGCTGCTGACTGATTCAGACTTTAATCCCTCTTGATGAGATTAACCAGATTGTTTTGTGTTTCCAGTAATTGGCGTCAAGATGCTTTTATAACTAGTTTATGTAAGAGTTCCTTTGAAATGGAATTGGATAATTTATATAGTTATATAAAACATATTTAGTTATATGTATCCATTCAGACTAACCTTTGTATCTTTAAAGATTAAATAGTTACATTTTTTTGGGCCACTTGGGGTCAGTGGAGCAAGCTGAAAACACAACACTGATAGCAAACGGTTATCTATTTATTTAGCCATCAGGCAGACGCAGAGCAACATAAACATTCATTTGTAGTAGTTTCTGGCCACCTGATGAATGGAAGTCCAATATTCACTCGCAGCTCTGTTTTGGTCTCCAACTGAAAAAACAAATGGATTTTTAGCTGCCAAATGCTCCACGATGTTCATCAGTTAGTCACTGTGCTGTTTGGCAGGCAGTGGTTTATCAGAGTTTTCAAGCTAAAAACACTGTTGGCTGCTGAAAGCGAGGTCGATAAGGTTGAATAAAGTGAGACGATCTGAAAGGGTTGTTTCTCTGTAGGTTTGACATCAAGAGGGACCCATTTCACATACCCTTTAGCTCCATTCTTAAGATAGATTTTAAAGTCCCTCATTTCGTGTCTGTCTTGTAACGTTACAGCTGGACCCGTTTAAAAGCATGAATATGACAATGGTATGCATCTTGTTCCAACGATTTGTTTTAGAGACCTTTTTGCTTGCTTTTAGTCAGTCATGATAAAGCCATCCTAAATGTTGTGAAATATTCCATCTTTAAGATGATATATTCCACAATATCAATATATGGTAAGAGTTATGCTTATTGAGATGTTCATTGCAGTGCTTTGACCAGTTTTGCTCTCACACAGTGATGGGACCAAAATCAAATGGCAGATTAACTGAAATTGATCTTTATTTTAAAAAGTATGAAAAGTCATACTGTACAAACAACTTAATGAATAAAGTTAAAAGTGATCAGAAGGCAAGAATAAAAAAACTAATTGTCAGCAAAGGCAGTCATCACAAGCTAATCTTAGCTTTCAGAGAGGTGCAAATGAGCCGACAGTAAAACAGTTTCAGAAGCCGCAATTCAAGCAACATCCCAATATAAAAAGTCTAATGATTCATTCCCTTCATTGCGGTACAAAAAGATCAGAACCTCTTACAGGACACAGTAAATCTGCACTGCCGGAGTTCAGGGGGAAGCCCCTATCAGCAAAAGTTCACTCCAGTCAGGACGCAGCCGACCGGCTCCAGCAGCCCTCTTTCCTCCAGACATCCAGTCTTTGACCTCCAAAGCTTAGCCAGCTCACAAAATCAGGTTGCTGATCTGACGTGGCATTTTCTGTCCATCCCTGCAGAACAGCCGATTGACTGGACACTAGGTTTCAGACGGGTTTGTGGCTTTAAAAGCAACATGTTCTCAGTCATTGATAGCTGGCCCAAAGAGCTCCAGCAGCTCCTTGTTGTCCAGGTCAATGAGGTCAGATGGTTTCTCCCCGCAGTCGTTCTCCAGCTCAGGATCGGCACCCAGCTTGAGAAGGTAGCTGGAAGAAACACAATATAACCTGCTTACTAAAAGGGCACACATCTGGCTGCTTCGCCACATTGGTAAACTCAATGTGAGTTTCTGCCATACTTCAGTGTCAGGAAGGTCAGTGGGGTGCAAGAATTCAGCAAATCCTCCAGCTTCTCTTACCTCTGTGGTGTAGGAGAGCTTGTGTGTGTGTTGGTATGTGCTTGCAAATGTGTAAACATGTAATGTCAGCTGCTTTCTGTTGGAGAAAAATAACAACCCGTTTGTTTCCAAAAAGTGTAGGCTTTAGAGCGCGAATACATAACTTTTGACAGTACAATCCTCGTACAAAGGGAAAGTTGAATTCACAAGCCATAAAATGCAATCTTACTCAATTCAATACACTTAAGGGTTTTGCTTCTACAGCCTCACATGGACTAGTAGCTTTTGGTGGCTAAATGGTAGCTGTTACAAACTAGCTAGACATTGTATATATATATATATATATATATATATATATATATATATACATATACATATATATTACACCCTTGAGTGGTATTTATGCTGAGAGGAAGCTGCACATTCCTCCCGCTCCTCTGTTCAACTTTGATATGAGCCGTGAACTTGTGATGTTTGAGAAATGCTTCTTGTGTTCAGTCTTTCTGCTCACTCTGGTTTTCTGTCGGGGGACTTTAATTCCCTGACATGCCTGACCCTTTAAGAAGGAGGAGTGTGTCTCTGTGGGTACGTTTCCTTCTGTAATGTTCGTCAGTTCCAAAGAAGGGAATATTTACTTATTTCTCTACTTTGCCAACAATATGTTTTACATTTGATTAATATCTTTTGTCAAAGTGTATTCGACTATAACAGTTGGCTCCATGAGGGGAGACTGATGCCACCCGGGTTAAAGTGGCACCAAGAGATCCTTCCTGATTGGCTACAGACAGCAGGTGACAGGGTATAAAAGATCTTAAAAAAATAGCTAACCAGCTTTGGTTGGTCTGTGTTTTTCAGTCTTTGGTACACAAAACACTGGGCTTCATTGATTGTCTGCAGAGGACCCTAAATGATAAACCTTATGAAATACTTTATGTTTCTCCTTTTGGTTGCTGGTTTAAATCTGGGGTGGGGGGGAATGGACCATTCTTCCCACTCACACTACCAAATCACCCTGCTATGTGAACAACAACACGCGTGGCATTTGTCACATGTTCAGCATACAGATAAGGACACGGTTAAGTGAAACATGTCTCGGCGGTTGTCATGTCCGGACCTCAGTAGCGGGGGGGACGCGGCATCTGTGCGACATGTCTTTTGTCTCCCATAATAAAATGTGAGAGCTCGCAGACATTTGAATCATGTCAGCACTGCAAAAACATCTCCTTCCTGGAAAGACACACTGTGCAGCTTGCCAGTTTTTTCTCCTGAGTCAGTGTGTACGCGTGTGCACATCCATACTTCACTTACAGGCGTTTGTGTGTGTGTGTGTGTGTGTGTGTGTGTGTGTGTG